AAATTAGGACCTATATGAAAATCCTTATAACTTTGGCTTACCAGCATCTTGCCTTGTATATCTTGAGCTCTGAAGTTATTTCTATACCCTTACATGGTCTTTCGGTCCTGACATAAATATCCCATCTCAGAATATCATTGGGGGTTGGAAAGAATTGGTAGAAAACTCACCAGGTCTCACAAACAGCCTTCTGTAATTTCCTCTGTGGGTTCAGCCCTGCTTTGAGTCTCCATCCCTGAACTGCTGCTTTTGAGTCTCCATTTCAGTCCTGGTTGCCCCTCCCCTGCCTGGACCCTAACATGCAGCTCTGTGACCAAAGCTGACAGAGGCTTGATCCCCAGTACCTGCTACTCCTTCATGCTCCAGCCTGGGATGGCTTGATGCCATAAAATTTGTATATTCTCACAGTGCTCTACTTTCTCTTGACTTGGTACCATCAGTCCCCCTACTTAGCTTTCTCTTTGTTCATTCATCTCTCAGCTTCTGCTCTCTTCAGAAATCTGTCCACACCTTACTTCTCTTTATCCGTGACCCTGACCTCCCCTGACCAGAACTACACTGCCATCGCCTATGAATACTGTATACTTTTGTTTTTAACCAAGATAAACATTTGTCAATGGGCTTATTTTTAGTTGACAATGAAAATTCTGTTTTCTTATTCATATGCTAAGGTTGGTTTTAAGTCATAAGTCCTTACCAAAGATGATCAAAAAGTAAGGAAGAATGACATAGCAGCATCACTTGGCAGTGGGGCTTCATTGGGTTCTTCTGTGTGTAATGGTTTCAGCTTAGCTCTGTGCTGTCAGTTCCAGCCATGTCTTCCCATGTGAGAGTAGACATCTCTGAGTTACAGTTTGTTGATCCCTGTTGCCCATTTGTTACTCTGCTCATCGAGTCAGCAAATGAAAGTGATCTGATTGGTGGCTACTAGACACATAACAAAGCCTTCTTCCTTCCTACTATGTAGCCCAGTTTGCCTCTCAAAGTGTCATTCAGCCCGGGCTGGTAGCACCCTCCCAGGCTACCTAGCATGATCCCTGGGATCTGGGGGTGCAGGCATGCTTCCCCATACCAGGATATCTTATGATGCGCTTCTCCGATTTCACTGCTCTTCACATTTTATACACACTGGTTCTGTGTGAAACTCAAGGGAAGAACCAAACATGTATTACTCTTTGTTTCCATGGCACCCAGAGTTCCTGGAACCTGTCAGCATGTCGGTGGGTAGAAGTTACAGCCACAGAAGACAAGAGAGGTGAGGACTAAGAAGGAAGAAGTGTCATGTGCACTAGAAGGATCTGGAGATTCTTATCTGGTACACATAGAGAGACATACTGTGTAGAAAAAAAACAGTAATATTGGTTATTAAGGATTAAAAGAGAAGTCATCTTGCAAGTTAACAATAGACAGCATTTTGTTTAGTGTGGAACAGAAGACTTAGTTAATTTGTAGTTAACCTGATATTTAATCTGCACTAGCAAATACATATCAAGATATTTTTCTATTTCTAGGCTTTCCATTCTGACTAGTTTTATACCAGCTTTACACAAGCTAAAGGCAGATCTTTGAAGAGGGAATCTTACTTGTGAAAATGCTTCCATAACATCAGCCTATAGGCAAGTCTGTGGTTCATTGTCTTGATTGGTGATTGAGGCAGGTGGACTGAGCCCACTGTGGGTGGAGCAACCCCTGGGCAGGTGTTCCTAGGTGCTGTAAGGAAACAGGCTGAGCAAGCCACGAGAAGCGAGCCAGTTAGCAGCATCCCTCTCTGACCTCTCTGCCACCTCCTGCTTCCAGGTCCCTACCTTGTTTGAGTTCCTATCCTGACTTCCCTCAGTGATGGAAGGTGATGTGGAACTGTAAGTTGAAATAAACCCTTTCCTCCTGAAGCTGCTTTTGGTCATATTGTTTTAACACAGTGATAGAAACGCCAACCAAGACACTCCCATTCAGAGAAAATGGTATTGGCTCAGGATCCCCAAAACCAAGTTATCAGTATAAAGATAGTTTTTGCCCCTAAGAGGCAAAGGGTAAGGATCAAAGACAAAGAAAGGAGATAAAGGATGAGGAGAAGGTGTTTAATTTTAATTGGCATGTTGATTAGATGAGTCAAAGGGGACTTTTGATACTTACACTTCAATACTTTGAAGGCTAGAGTTTGGTAGTCAGCCTCAGGAGGAAAAAGAAGCCAAATAAGGGACTAGACATTGATGACTAGCTTGTAATCTAATGGCTTTTAGCACGGCAGAGGAAATGGGGGCCAAGGGCAAGGCCTGCCAGAGCCATGCTCTCCATGCTTGAGTGGCTACATACCTTCATCATTTGCAGTTCCAACACTCCCATTAGCACTGTTTTCAAAAGCAGCATCTGACAATTATGAACCTCAATTTTAATGGTTAGGTTCCCGAATTGATTCAATTTAGAATATGATCATAATGGATAGTCACTAGAGAAAACAATCTACCATGCCAAGATTGCTGTCACTCTATGTCTAGCTCATGGGAACAATCTTGGGTAGGCAGTTTAAAGTATCATTTACTACTTGTAATTTTTAAAAATAAACAAATATGGAGTTTTACAAAAACACAAGTGGAAGTAAATATGAATCCCTTGAGCCCACATACCTTCCACATATGGGTAATATTGCGTGTGTTTGACAAATGTGCTAGACCCAAAATTTTGAACTCAAGCACAATGCAATAACATATGTGTATAATTTAACAGAAAATGGTTACTGATGTATTGATCAATCTCTTCAATTGATTTTATCATATAACCAGAAGTATGGTCTGTAGAGATGTGGTTAAGGGTGTGATCAGCAGTAATATCTTTTGATCTCAAAGTTCCTTCCAGTTCTTGCCCTTAAGATGTGGAAACTTATTGATATCAATTTTCTCACATGTCGCTATTGAGATCACAATAATGACTAATTCAAAGGGCAGTTGCAAAGTTTAAATACTCGTGTTGGGACAATAGTATCTTATGAATAGTTCAGAAAATATTTGTTCTGATGATTAATTCCACAAATAGGAATATTAGTTGCCACACAGTCTAGTGAGAATACCAAACCAATTTCTTCAGATTATTCTCATTATTAAGGATATTGTGCCATACACTGGGCAAGTGGCTCTAGATTGAGTAATGCTTTAAGTTCATAATGATACTGTGTATGACCATATTTAATGCTACTGTATGAAAAGGAGATTAAGACTCAGAAAGGTTGAGAAATTTGCTCAAGATCACAAGAGATAACCAGTTTCCACCTTGAGCTAAGTTGTTCAGGCTGGTCTCACATTTCCAATGTAGAACCATCTATGTTCCTTCAGACTTGTGGTCTTTCAGATTTACTTCTGAGTATTGGAATTACAGGTGTGCACAACTGCGCCTACTAAATTGGTACCTTTTACACAGCATTCTATTCCAAGGTTCAAATTCTTATGGAAGAAAATATTGAGGAAATGAGCCCTTACATATCTGTAAATTCAAGGACTGTTTAATTTTTATTTCCCTGTGTATATTCTAAAATTTTAATCAAGAAGATTTCATCAGACAGAAAAGAATGTAGAAAAAAGTAGACTACCAGATTCAATACTGTGGTTCAACTGTGAAACATCCCTATCAAGATATCTTTAAAGTGTATATGTTGGTTTAGCTTAGCAATCCCCAGAATCAAATGTCTCTCTGCAGTCAAAAAATTCAAAGAAAACACAATAATATACATAATCCAGATTCTTTGTGTATTCTCTATCTTTATATGGCTTTTCTTACTCTATTACTTTTTAATATTTATAATCTATGACTGTATGTGTTCTGTCTCTTTAAAGACTTTGTTTTTTTAATAAACCATTTACTTCTTTTTATAACTCTCTATACTCTTTTTCTTCTCTCTCCCAAGACTATGTACAGTTTTTAAGCACACTGTGTCTCATTTAGAGGTCTTTTAAATCTGAATTTGTCTTAATTGTGTATTCATCACTATTTTCTGACCGGAAATGCTTCCTAAAATGCTGAGCCCTTCTTATGAATTTTAACGGCACCATTGCTAGGGGAAATACAGCACCGTCTGCTTGCTCTGCCCCGTCTGGCACAGCAGAGCAGAGGTCTGTTTAGTATGAGTCATGCTCACAGCTCCATTTTCAGGCACACAGCAGGTCTATGTTGCCATTAAGCAAGTTGTAGCAGTATATTCACAGATCCCATTTAAATGTTTGGCTTCTTGAAAGAGTCAGAAGTCACACTGGCAGCACAGCCCAGAAAGCTGGCATTTCAAATAACTTTCTTTTTCTGCTACCATTGAGTCAGGAAAACCTCTCTTAAGGGAACCACAGGACGCTGGCAGCAAGCAAAGCTCATTCGGAGGAGGGGGGAAGGATGCAACTAAACTTTGTTTTTTAGTGTCTAGAATTCCTTTGCAAGCTCTCTCAGGTTTTGAGTGAATTTTACTTTTGTCTTTTTTTGTGATTTCTTTTTTAATTTATTTTTATTTTGTACACATTAGTGTTTTTCCTGCATGTATGTCTGTGAGAGGGTGTTGGATCCTGGAGTTACAAACAGCTGTGAATGGCCATGTGGGTGCTGGGAATTGAACTTGGGTCCTCTGGAAGAACAGTCAGTGTTCTTAACCACTGAGCCATTTCTCCAGCCTCTTGAGTGGATTTTAGTTGGCCCCGTTGGCACCAATTTTTTGGAGGAGGGGCCACTTGTTATTTCCTGGCTGTTTGGCAGCTCAGACTCAAAATAACCACACAGTAATTGTATTCATTAAATCAATGTTTGGCCCATTAGCTCTAGCTTCTTATTGGCAAACACTTACATCTTAATTTAACCCATTTTTATTAATTTGTATACCACCATGAGGCTGTGACTTACCAGGAAATGTTCTGGTGTCTATCTCCGCAGGGCCACAAGGCTTCTCTCTGACTCCTCCTTCTTTCTCCCAGCATTCAGTTTAGTTTTCTCCACTTAGCTCTGTTCCCCTATAGCTCTGCTATAGGCCCAAAGCAGTTTCTTTATTCATTAACCAATAAAAGCAACACATAGACAGAAGAACCTCCCATACCAGTGATGTAGTGATCTGGCCTCCTGCTCTTGGCCCATGCCTTTCCCGCCATGATAGAACATGTCCCCCTCAAACTGTGGGCCAAACTCTTTCTTTCTTTATTTCTTGTGGTCAGGTGTCTGTCACAGCAACAAGGAAAGTAACTAATACTTGTGGGTTTTCTGCAATAGTTTTGAGCCCCCAAGATGAACCACTGACTCTGTGCAAAGGCTCCAACAATCCTCAAGCTCAGTCGTAGGACATTGTATGAACTGGGGTCTAGGGGAGGTTAGTTACATAGGGAAATGTTTCTAGGGCAGAAAGTGTAACCACACATTCCGCGGACTCATGAATGGGTACCGTAGGGAAAGCCAAAGGATAAATGTGAACTAGAACTAGACAAGCCGTTGTCTGGAGAATAACAGAAATTTACAAAATTCTGGATATCTAGAGGTGCCACAGAGTCCCTTAGAAGCCAGTTTACAGCAACTCCTTTGAGAAAGCAACAGAGTTAACCCTCAATGGAAGCAAAGGCGTCGAAATGCTCTGCTCCTGAAGGAAGTTAACCCAGGAGGTCCGTCACCTCCTGCGTCCTCCCACTTTGGAGTAGCAACCTCTCCCATTACACCCTGTTCATCTTTGTCCTGTGTTGAATTTGTTTTGACAGTTACCAGTGTTTCTCGGAGATGAACCCTTGGTCTGTTCCTGTTTACCTTTTTTATCTTGTCACTGGTTACCTAATTTTATCGTTCCCTGATAGATTCAAAGCCTGCAATGATGTTGGAGTTTGCTTCATGTTCAGTCAGGGAGACAGACCCATCTGAATCAGGAAGGTAAATAACTTTCAAAACTGAATGATAAGAACACAGTGTAAAAAATGGTAGGCAATTTTCTTTCACCCTTAGAGTCTTTGAAATTGGCTTCCTTATTTTCCCAGTTTTTCTTGTGAAGATATTGAAGCTTAAGAAGGGCAAACACAGGGTCAGAAGCCCCATGGCATTAGTCACTGTGCCCTGACTCCCCATGAAGGTGGGCCCTTAAGTGGCGAGAGGAGACAAGGCTGAGGGGTAGCTGTGGCCTCTTTCATGATAGCATGGGAATATTCTGTCTGGAATATTGTTAAGTTTTATGTCTTCAATTTATATTATCCTTCAGTATAGACTGACATTTAAAGATTTTTATAAGAATTTTAAAATAATGTATTCAAGGTCTCAGTGGCAGAGCTTAAGTGGGATGCTGATTGTCTGCCTTCAAAGCCCAAATATTTGAACAGACCGCACTGCCTTCCATTCTATAGCTTCTGGGTGCACCAGTTAATATAAAAAATATGGGGCTGAATCTCTTAAATCCTAGGCTTATTGTTGTCTCTACATTGTCAGTGAATCAGACTAATTCTGGATACAGTGGGGGGCATCCATGCAGGGGTCACATTTATTACACATTTAAGAAAGGAAATGCTTACCCTGAGATTCCACCAGCAATTCTGCAGATTGAAGCAGTATTTGATTTTCAGAGTCTAGGTCTGTTGTCAGACAATGATCAGGTACCCAACATTAAGTCTAGAGTTTTCTTTTTTCTTTTGTCTCCATCCAGCATAAACTTAATTAGACTAGGATTGGAAAAAAGAGTAGAAAGGAGGCCAACATTTGGTTCTGAATTCATTGTTTCTCTGACCCACCTCAAAAATAAAGAAAAGAGCAGAAAACAAACAAACAAATGAATTAATCCATAAAACAATGCCCATCAGAAAGGATAACACTGAGAAGTGTGAACTCACAAGGGCCATTTGGAGAAGAGGACCCAACTACAGGGCACGGAGTAAGAAGGTCCTCGCTTTGTTTTGTTATTTGCCATTGGTTTTCTCTTCCTGGAGGCAAACTTGCATCACTTTTGAGATTTTGTACCATTGTGTAGGGCACCATCTGGTTGGAGATGCTCTACGGGGCATCTCCCATGAGTTGCTTTTCTCTAAGCATTAGGGATATGCAAGTGATACTTTCTTCTGGGGGTAACAGAAGTTTTATTTGCATTTCTCAAGGGTGCAGTAAAATGTCTCCACAAGTCTCTTGTGTGCTACTACGGTGTGTCCAATGGAGCCTTTCACAGAGTATCTGACACATCCACGACCCTGTTTTGACCTCAGACAGATATAGAAAAGTATGGAAATTCCACTAGCCCCTTTTCCATAGATGTTGTCCAAGTTTTACAAACAAATAGTCTCCCTGCTTTGTCTGTTGAAATATTTATTTGATGTCATTTGGACTTTGGGAGGTTTTTATCACAGCCAGGTCATGGTTTTCCTTCCCTTTTGCAGAAGTTGCATAAAACTTCAGGTCAGAGAAGACTACTGTCCCCGTGGTGCTCAGTGTCACTTCCTCAGCCATCAGTCGGTGGCCCTAAGTACTCTCCAGAGCTGCGCAGAACTTTGCCCTAGTAACGCTGCTTTAATCACATACCAGGTTCTCACATCGTTGACTTTCTAAGTCCCCAAAGAGAGACCTCGTCTCTCAGCAGGAGACAGACAGTCCAGAACGCCTTAATAAACCACACTTTGGTAAATTAAACTTTAAAATTCATTTGGCAAATACAAATGAAGCTCAAAGTGAAAATTATTGTTTATTGCATGCCGTCAGAATGGGAAAGAATGGAGAGACTGAACAAATACTGTCAACCTGAAACTTGGCTTTGTCTGATGACGTGAGAGGAGTCTCAACAGGCTATTAATGTGGTCATGAGGTGGGTGATAAGGATCTGCCTCTTCTAGGCTGTCACAAGGAGGAGAGAGCTTCTCTGCGAAGCACTCGGCAAGTATTACCTGTGCAAGGCAAGGCTCTAGCTTGTGTTATCTCCTTGTCTTACCATGTATTCATTACAAAAGCCTAGAAGGTACACACTCACCCTCATCTCACAGATGTGGAGACTCAGCAGAGAAAATTCACGGTTCCCGCCTGCAGGAAGCAGCAACTGATTCGAGGTCTCGGGCTGAACCCAGGCAGACTCCTGTTTCTCAAGATCTTCACTCAGAGAATGTGACCACGTGAAGGCAGTAAAGGATGATCCAGCCTTCAGACACAATGATCTAACATAGCGTGCCGTGCTTTTTTGCTTGCTGAAATCTCAGTGAAGATTTAGTTCAAACTTTGGAAATGTAACAGAGGGCTGGTTTTTGTCTCTTGCACTTCTTTGGTTTCTGTTCTTTGATTGCTTGTTTCAGCATTTTGTTTCTGTAAAATATTTTTTACTGTTTGGATTTAAGTTTACTGCATGTTCATCTTGGAAAGTCTATAAAGTAAGGACAGGGCCTGTGTTTGTGTTCCTTTCTTCTTTGTTCCCAACATCAGTAATGCTCACAACACTAATTTAACCACTAATCCCAGACACTAACCTGTCATATAGGCACCTGGAGTACACAGCCAATGGGAGGTAGAAGCCATAGTCATGCACAGTTACCCGTATTGCTCACATTTTATGAATGAATGCAGAATATTTGAAAATTTTTCCCTTGCTTCAGTCTTTATCTTGAGTCCATTTATTCCCCCTTCCTTCTCATTTTTCAACAACATAATTTAAGCTATAACGTATGGATCTTTAAAATCTTTAAACTCCTTCAATGATCAGGATGGGATGATCACTTCAGAGAGGCCCAGAATCAGAGCTGGCTGAAGGAATTCTGTGGGCTGAGATTCTTTCATATATTGATCTTTCTGACTGCCGTGGTGTCTAAAATAGCAGTCGAGGAATTGAATTATTGAAATTAAAAGGTGACTTTTTTTAACAAATTGACCGCCGCATTGCAAATTATTCTGCATTTGGCAAATACTGAAGAATTTAATAATTATTAGAACCTGAGTTAGCATTAATAAGTTTCTTTCCAGATAATACATTGAAACTGTAAATAAAATACATATTCAAATATTAATTTAGACATGGTCTAATCACTCTATATTCTTTGGAGCACAGAGAGGAATCAATACTCATCTCTGTTCTAGATTCACTGATTACACCTGACTGTGCACTAAGCACGGAAGGGAATGTTTTCCTGAGACCCCCACACACTCCCAGGGTTTGGTTTGTGATTAAATCTGCAATGCGCAGCGGGTGGATTTCTGGGGATTCAGGAGGAACTGAGGGAATCCCGACTCTATGGAAGCTAGATCGCAGTAGATCAAAGGGAAAAGTCCATACATTGAGTAGCTAAATGGAAAGGTGGATGCAACTGAAGCATCATTCTGTCTCTGTGCTGTAATACCCTAACATAAGGCTGCCTTGAGAAGAAAAGGCAAATTTGGCTTACAGTTCCAGGTTATGTAGTCCACCAATTCAGGGTCTTCAAGGCAGGAGCTCCCGGAAGCTGCCTGCATCACGGTCAATGACAGAGAGCCAGGAACGAACCCATGCGCATGTGCTCAGTGTACATAGTTCATTGCACAGCCCAGGAGTTGGTGGTGCCCATAGTGCCCACCTACAGGGTGGTTCTTTTCACCTCAATTAACCCAGTTCTGACAATCCCCTACAAGCAAGTCCCCAGGCCAAGGTGCACTAGGTCATCCCTCAGAGACTGTTTCCTGTCAACATTTTCTCATAGAGCTGGTCAGTGTTATCTGGTATCACAGCCTGAGCTATCATGCTACTGATATTGCTGGCATATTGAGAGAGGAGGAAGAATGGAAAGGGTTTGTCCACAGCGAGATGTTTGGGGTTCCTTCCCGAGCTAGTGTTCTAAGACCGATGCAGGGGTTGCAGGTAATGAACAAAGAAACACTTTTATGCTGTGCTGCAATGGGAAATAATTCTCTTCTGAATGAAAGAAAATCATTTTGCTGGCCTTAAATGCACTCATACTAAGTCTGTAAACGCTGCCCGAACTCCCTTCCAGAGCTCACAGCTGTTCTTGTCAATGCTGATTTGTGGCTATGAGGTTGGTATGACAACCATTTTTCCAAACAATTATGTAACACATGGTTCAGTTGATATGAATCAGAGCTGATAGAAGTAGTTTTTCAATCTCTTCTTTCTCGTGTATGTGTGTGTGTGTGTGTGTGTGTGTGCGTGTGTGTGTGCGTGTGTGTGTGTGTGTGTGTGTGTGTGTGTGTGTGTGTGTGAAGCAGGAAAAGATTTAACAACATTCCTAACAATTCCATTTTGGCTGACTGTTTTATGGCACTCTGCATGTAAGTGGAGATTATTAAAATTGCATGCACTTAAGAGTGTGAATTATTACAGGGCAAATCAAGGACATGTACTCTTCTGTACTGTGTGTGTGTGTGTGTGTGTGTGTGTGTGTGTTCATCTAGCACACTAGAATGGAGCCACTGTCTTTCACTCTCCACGTACTCATGTAAACTGTCTCTAACCCCTCAAGGCAGCATTGTAACAGGCTCAGTCTGTTATAACTGCAACTAACATCGTTGGCTTAGGATTTTACTAGTCCCCACATTTTAGACATACTTTTAAGAAACATTATCTGAAGTTGAACTTTCTTAAATAGGAGAATGGTCTTTTAAATAGCTGGGTTTTGTGGATAAGTAACAGTAGTTACCAAATATTTATCCTGAGTCTTACCATTGAGCCTAAGTTTAAGATTGGTCCTTGTTCACCATTCTACTTCCTAACACACATGAGGAACTGTTTTGTGTATATCTCTTCAAGGAAGTCACTGGGGACCAGAACCAAGTACTGTTAACTGCAGGTTCCCACTACCTGTTGTTTGCATGCTCAGCCCAGGATACCTTAAGATTCATTGTTAGAAAAGTATGACCAACTTATTCTTTGACTGATGAGAATTGCCTCTAGGTGTAAGGTGTCGGTTTTCATATCAACATTAATTCCTCAAGGCTATACATTCGGGAGGTGGAAGATTAGGAAGTTGGCTTCTCATAACAACAGCCTCCCTTCCAGTCTTCCCAACCAAAGCTGATGATTCAAGCATTCTGGAACCTGGGGTCCTGCTTCTCTCCTCTACAGTAGTGGCTGATCTCAGCCATGGACATGTCAAACGCTGCCAGGAACTTGGAGGACAGGCTTCTCCGATGTATCTCCTCTTATTCTGTCACTCTGTCCACACTCCATCTCCTCCATGTATCATTGCAGAGCCGACACCTCTAACACAATCTCAGGAATCATAAAGCCTTGCACACTGGAAAGATTCTTCCACGTGCTGTCCGCTTCTCTGCAGAGTGCCCCACCCAAAGAAGTTATTTGCCTTCTTTGAAGTCTGATTTTTTCCAGGAAGCAGTACATGTTTGGTTATTCTCTTGAGATGAAGCTGTTCTGCCAAAAATGCTAGAATGGCATTCCCTTAGGTCCACAGACATGTTCCAGACTCTACCGCCTCAGTGCTTGTGTACTATGTCTCACTAAGTCCTCTACCACCTCAGTGCTTGTGGGCTATGCCTCACTAAGTCTGCCCACCGAGAATAACATTCTTTACTGCACTGCACTCATGACTGTGGCCTTCTGAGCATTTAACAGGGATCCTGGAAATGTCTTGTGATCTCCCTTTCTTTCTTACGGCTGTGATCACTGTTGAGGTGAAGTCCAAACATCCTCATCCTCATGAAGAAGTGATCAACCTTATAAAGTATTGTCTGTATTTCGGCAGTAGCGTTGAGGTTTATTTGTGCCCACTTGTGACTGGCTGGGACACCCCCCAAGTCTGTGACAGTAAAGCGGATGCCGTCACCGCAGCATCCTTTTTCTTCCTGAAGAGCCCTCTGTGCTCCCATCAGGATCTGTATCCTCTCTACGGTGTCTCCCTTTCTACAAGCCCAGACACTCCCGCTGGCTTCTCCTTCATCCAAGGTGTAATTTCAACTATTCCCTCACAGATATGCCAGTCACATCCCTTCTGCAAAGGTTGTGCCCCCTGTACATGGACTCCTCCTACAAGGATCACACTATGCTGTCTCGTGCTCATGGATGTTAAGTATTTAAAGACTCACGGACTGTAATGGAGCTCTGTCCTGAGAACGACACCTGCTGTCCAAGTTCAGATCTTTCTTGCTGTCCCCTAGAGCTACTGTTTGGTCTGATTGGTTTTACCTACAGCCCCCTCCACAGCAACTCTGATCTTACTGATACTCGGCTACCTCATGTCTCTAGTTTCCCCTCGACACATGCCTCACATACAGTTTCTGGATATCATGGACTTTGTAGGGTTTTAATTCTTTTAACGTACCATGTTTTTGTGTGTGCGAGAGAGAAACTTTGGTGTTTTACTTTTGTACTTACCTGGCGTGACATACATACACGTACATTAAAATAAAAAGCAACAACATAAGTTTGGCTCAAGACATGTACTAATTCACAGTGTAACCCCTGAAAAGTGTGTTTACAGCGCAGGCTGGTCAGAGAAGCAGAGCAGGAAAGTGGGCTTAGACACATATCAGTTGAGGCCGGATGTCCCTATAATGCTCCAGGGTAGGGGAGTCTATCCAAACACACGAGACAATGAAAGCATGGTGTGTTAGCCCTCGGACGCCATGGCATGAAAATAGATGTCCCTTGCTTTGCTCTGAGAACCATCTGCCAATCACACACTCCAAGGCACACGGATCATATGTTCCTTCTTGCTAGGTAGTAAACGTTAAATACCGCTGCACACAAAGAACAGCCAACGCGTTTGATAATTCATCAGCGGTGGCAAAGCCGACTGTCTCCATGCAACACAAATGGATTTGGCTTCCAAGTGGCTCCTCTCAAAATTTCAGCCCACTTGAATTTTGTTGCTCTGTTTGTAGAGTGAGGGTGGATCATACGTTACTTCCCCCGTACAGGTATCAGTCTTCCCACACCAACAGCAGAAAGGGCCTCTCCTCCGCTGCTCTGTTGTGTGTCTGTGTTTGTACCTGGGTTTAAGTGTTCGGTGTTAGCCCCGCCCTCTTGATTCACACTACTCTGTAGGAAGCCGCGCTATCTGGTGATACAAGTTCTACAGTATTGTTCTTCCTTGGCTGGGCCTCTTCCACGTCTCCTTGCATTTCAAAACCAGTTTGGCAGCAATTGTGACACTTTAATGTCCTTGGATTCTTAATGCCTTCTTATCATCTACTGCAGTAATATATAAACATTTCAGCATAAAGTATGAAATGCCTTTTGTAGCCTGGCTCTAGCTTCTTGCCTGGCCACATTTCTGACCATTCTCCTCCTTTCCTGTATACAATCTATAGTAATTCCAAATAAATTGCTGCCTCTGCGAGCTTATTGTTAAAAAGGCAGCTCATGTTTTTATGTTTTTATACATACTTTTCCCCTCCTTTAGAAAATAGATGTCCTCCAGCGCTGTCTGCCTGGAATGCTCACACTTAT